ATTTCTAGTATTTCTTATGGTTAATTCAGGACTGCCATCCTAAGCCAGCGGTCTCAGACTATTCTACAGAGTGCAACCCATGGATGTGTGGAAATAACAATACCTTTACTGCTGACAAAGAATGCCCCCTAGAATTAAAATAGAATGTATCTGTATTTCCTACTTAAAAAAAAAGGCAATGCTCTCTTCTGTATTCACAGCAGCTCAAAATATGGATATGCTTCTTCCAGAAGGATACAGGTGGTCTTCAGGTTATGACCACTTGTTCAGCGACTATTCAAATACCAAATTATGACTGGTAGTTATGATCAGTGTTTGGAGTTCCAGCTGTTGTGTCATTGCGATCTGGGCACTCAGCCCCCAGCTTGTAACTACTACGTTGCAATGAGCCACAATCACTTGATTTCTGATATTCCCTGCTAGCTTCCTAAAAGCAAAGTCAGTTAGGAAGCTATCAGGAAGTCCAAAGTCAAAGCCATGTGAGGTTCTTGCTTAACAACCCATGAGGTCTTTGTTTAATGACAGTTACCAGGGACTGCTGTAACTGCTATCGCAAGTCCCCGTGGTTACAGGCTGCTTAGCAATGGCAATTCCCATCTCAATTGCCTATAGAGGTAAGCCAAGTACTACTGGTACTCCCGAATGACTCCATGTAACTTCACAAGCCACTTTTTAAGTAAAAGAGATTTTCCTATGGGAGATGAGTTGTCCCCAGAAAAATAATATAAATGCTACTGGGGTGGGAGGAAGACTATTTTTTAAAAAATAATAAAAAATAGATAAATAAATAAATGGAACTCTAGAAAAGCTCCAGGTAGATTGATTTCAAAATTATGTTAATAATACAAGACACATTGCCATAGTTTTGACAATAACATAATTGTGAATGGATGCAATGTCAGACTATATGCTGCTTAAAACTGCAAGAAGCTGCCAGAAATGCTAATCCATTACTAGGTAATTAATTCTACCACGTATCATGTGGGATTGATTCATTTTATTAAAGAAGAACCTTCAGAGCTAGCATCAATTCCTCCCGTATTAGTTGCAAGTCCTCCTTCAACGGAATAGTTGGTACCCAAAACTGATTTCATAAGGTCCTCCTCACACCCCACTTCAAGGGCTGTTACAGAGCCACCTTTATGAAAGTCTTGAAAGAAAAATTAACGTCATTTGTTCTTAAATTGTATTTCATAACATAAACCATGTTTATTTTTTCTACTACTTTATAAAACCAGCAGCTATCAAACATCACAAGAAGTCAAATTGATTGTACAGTTAGATGAGAAGGAACAACTGAATGATTTCTAGGAACATACCAGTGAAATGCAGGGTAAAGTGAAAGAATGCTAGTCCAAGAGGACCAGTGGAATCAAGATGGGCATCCTGTATTTCTAAAGTAAGTTCATCGAGAAGAGAATATATTGTGAAAAGCTATAAAAAATATAGATCTGTCAGTTTGACACCTGTACTGTACAGGGTACATCTTTGAACATACCAATTAAATAACAAATTAAATGAATAGAGTCATAACCAAAAGCCAACATGGGTTTGTCAAAAACAGATCATGCCAGACAAATCTTATCACATTCTTTGACAATGTGACAAAATTAGAGGACCAGAGGAATGATATGGATATAATTTACTTGGACTTGTAAGACATATGATAAAGTAGACCACAACCTTCTCTTAGATAAGATAGAAAAAATGTGGGTTAGACAGCATCACCACCAGATGGATTCATAACTGGCTGACCAACCACATTTAACATGTAGTCCTCAATGGACATGTAGTCCTCAATGGAACGGCATCTACACGGAAGGAAGTATGCAGTGGGGTACCCCAAGCTTCTGTTTTACGTCCAGTACTCTTCAACATCTTCATCAATGATTTGGATGAGGGGATAGATGGGGAACTCATCAAATTTGCAGATGATACCAAGCTGGCAGGAATAGCCAACACTCCAGAAGATAGGCTTAAGATACAGAAGGATCTGGACAGACTTGAACATTGAGCACTATGTAACAAAATGAAATTCAATGATGAAAAAAGTAAGGTTCTACATTTAGGCAAGAAAAACCAAATGTACAGGTACAGTATACGTGGTACCTTGCTCAATAGTAGTAACTGTGAGAAAGATCTTGAAGTCCTAGTGGACAATCACTTAAATATGAGCCAGTGGTGTGCGGCCGCTGCCAAAAAAGCCAATACAGTTCCAGGTTGCATTAACAAAGGGATAGAATCAAGATCACATGAAATGTTAATACCACTTGGTATTAATGCCTTGGTAAGGCCAGTTTTGGTTACTACAATGTAAAAAAGATGTTGAGACTCTAGAAAGAGTGCAGAGAAGAGCAATAAAGATGATCAGGACTAGAAGCTTAAACATAAAGAACGATTGCTGGCATTGGGTATGTCTAGTTTAATGAAAGGAAGGACTAGGGGTGACGTAATGGTTGCCACAAAGAAGAGGGAGTCAACCTATTCTCAAATCACCTAAAGGCAGGACAAGAAGTAATGGATGGAAATTACATCAAGGAGAGAAGCAACCTAGAACTAAGAAGAAATTTTCTGACAGAACAATTAATCAGTGGAACAACTTGCCTCCAGAAGTTGTGAATGCTCCAACACTGGAAGTTTTTAAGAAGAGATTAGACAATCATTTGTTTGAAATGGTATAGGGTTTCCTGCTTGAGCAGGGGGTTGGACTAGAAGGTCTCTAAGGTCCCTTCCAACTCTGTTATTCTGTAATTGTTTGACTACTGTACAGTTTACAGTGTCTATAAATTAAATCTACATGTTTAGGGCTATTCCAATGGATGCTATTTCTTTGTGGTTATTACAAATTATCTGTGATTTCTTGTCTAGCAATTTCTCAAGATTAATGCCAACCAAACTACAGAATTACAAAAGTCTTGTCTAAAATCTAAAAGTACATCAATACAAGTATGATTATTGCTCAGTTCCACTTGTTTATTTCATATTTTCCAACATGCTGCAATCTCTTTCACATCATCAGGGCAAACTCATCACACTATTTTTCAGTATGAGGGAAAAGGGCTATGAGATCCAAAAACTTTGTTAATTATCAACCGCTCCCTCTCCCAGCTACCAGAAGCAAGTTTTATTTAGAGTTAGGACTAGCTCTTCCAAAATCTTAAATTTAAGATGACAAATCTAAGATGTATTCCCCATTGCTCATGGACAGGGCTCTGCTAAGTGAAGTCAAAAAGGATTGTTCAAAGACATTTGATTTAACTATCTTCCAAACTATTTTCATTATTTAGATCAGGGGTCTTCAAACTTGGCCTTTTTATGGCTCATGGATTTCAACTCCCAGAAGTCCTCAGCCAGCGTAAGAGGGCCAAGTTTAAAGATTTAGATGACTTAGATGCAGCATTAGTGAAGGTACTCCAAAGTGTACTTGATATACCTTCACTAATGCTTCTATAGCATGTAATGGGAATCCTATGTACAAATATGTATTGGGGCTGGATTTATTATCACTCTAAAATATAGCTTCCATGGCTATGATTTGATTGATTGCATTAATCCAGAATATTCATGCTGAAAGCTAGTAGAATTTAATGGTTAATAATTTGGGGGACCCAGATTAAAATTCTATCATTCAACAATATTCATTGTCTTTGTCTTCTAGACTAATCCACATCACAAGATGGTCACCTGGGGGAAAGATTAAAAGGAGACTCCTACATGTACCATCTTGAGCTCACAAAAGAAAAACAGGATTCAAAATCTGTCAGCAGGATCCTGCACACAATGTACTAAGTTATGCTATGGTTTATTTGGTGTTGTAGCATGCTATACATTCACTAAAACATGGATAGAAACCAGCAATGTATTGTGATGAACTAACCCAGATAGTATTTTACAAAATCAATTTTCACAGACACAGGCAAATTTTTCAAATCAGAGGAGTTTACTTATGACAAACTTCCCTTTTTGCTCCTGAAAAATGTCATATACATTCCTAGGAACTTTCCCTTCCACAACATGGAAATTTAGAAGTGTATTCTGTTGAGGTTAGTACATACAGCTCTTATATACCACTTCGGAAAAAGGAATGAGCTGGAAGAAGGCAATCAGAATAACCGAGGCTGAACCACTTTGGCTAAGAGGAAAAAAACCAGAACACTCAGAACGCTAACTAGCAAAACGGCCACTCAGATGGACCCCATCAAAAAGAACAACTGCTTCTCCTCGGAGAGCAATCCCCGGGGCCGGTCCCAGGGTCGAAAGTCACTGATGGCCTCATACCTATCAGACTTTTCCGGAGAAAAGCCGCCCGCCCGCCCGCCCACGCCGTCAACCCTCCCCGATGGCTCCGCCGGTCGTTCATGGTTCCCCCGAGCGGGACAGCGAAGGTGGGCCTGGGCTGCGTCCTCGGGGCCGGGCCGGCTCACGACGGCCGGAGACGATATTGGGGCAGAGCCGAGCCCGGGCCCCGCGCCGGGAAAAGCTCGGCCAGCCGCGAGGGGGGACTCGCGACGCGTCGCCCGCTTGGGGGGGAGCGTTCCGGCCCTGTCCCCCGCCTTTCCCCGAGCGCCCACTCACCGGGCCGGGTCCCTGCAGCAATGGCGGCGACAGCGGCAGGAGCCTGGCATCCAAAATGGCGGCAGCGGAACCAAAGCACCGATACCGCAGGCGGAGGAATTCTGCGGTCGGCTCTTGCTAGTTTATCTCCGTCTGGACGCGGCGGTTACTCGCTAAGACTGTTAAGCGAACGGCCCCCGGGTTAATCCCTTTCGCGGCCCCGTTAACTCTCGCTGCGCGCGCGCCTGCGGCAGCCACCCCCAGCACTCGTTTCTCAAGCGGAGGCATCCGAGGTGGGGAACACGAAGACCGCTCCGCGGCAGTCACTGATGACGTCAGACGCCTGCCGAGTCACCGCGGCTATCGCGCCGGCCATAACTGCCCGGCTCAAACTCGCCGACGAGTATGAAGGTTCCGCCGAGGGCCACGTTTCTTCCTGGGCGCCTGTTAAGCGGAAAGAATGGGACCTGCGCTAGTGTGACGAGGTGCCGCGGATGGCCTCGCCGGCCAATGCTTGCCGGAGCAGGTCTCTCTGCGCCTGGGGGAGGAAGGGGGCAACGGCGTTGCTGTTAAAAGTTCGGGCGTTGAGCCGCAGCCTCGCAGCACACCGCGAGAACCAGCACGCTGGAGAAGAGGCGAGACATCCCGGGTCCGAACCCTCCGTCCCAAGCCAGGCGCCGGGGGACCATTTCCGGGAGGAAACGGGAAAACGTCCAAACGCGCTTCCAGCCCGGCGGCGGCTGTCTGTGTCTACCGCTGGCACGGAAAGTTTGTCCAGGGCTGCCCTTCGCCCGGGTGGGGGCGGGGCGCTCGCAGAGACCTTAGACTGTTACGAAAAGTTCAGCTGTAGAGCGGAACTAAGCCACGAGAGCCGGGTTGACCAGGCCCGTGGGGAACCGGAACTGCTCGCCAGCTACTCGAAGCAAAACGCGGCCCCGGCGAGCGAGATTCCAGCGGGCGGCGTGGGCGTCACGTCGCCAACTGCTTCCTGTGGAGTTGCTACGGCGACCGCTGGCTGGGGAGTGACGTCATCGCGGTGCGCCGTCTCGCGCCTCGCTGGCATCACATCCGAAGCATTTCCGGCGCGCTGAGAGGCGGAGGGCGGGGCCGGCATCGCGATGGAGCCCGGGCGAGGCGGCGGCGGCGGCGGCTGCAGAAGTGCGGCAGGCGGGCGCCCAGGCGGCAGGTGAGCGAGGGCGGCGCAGGGCGTCCGCGCCCCCTCCCGGCCTCCGAGCCTCTAACGCTGCTGGTTTCTTTGCCTCCGCAGGTGAGTCCCCCTTCCGCCAGCGAGCACCATGCGGGCGGCCCAGGAACGCGGCCAGGGCCGCCTCCCGCCCAAGAAGCGAGAGCTACCGGCGTCCGCCAGCGGGGGCGACGGCGACGAGCCGGGCAGGTCGGCCGAGCGCGATTCGGTGACGGTGGGGGAGGCCTCGTCGGAGCGGCCTCAGGCGGCGGCGGGCAAACCGGGTCGCGCGCCTTCGCGTTACAGTGAGCCCGGCGGTGATGACACCAGCGACGGCGACCACCCCAACGAAACTGTGGCCAGCTTGACTGTGGACCAGCGCGGCTTGTACAAGGTGGCTGTGCCCCCGACCACCTTCGCCCCGGTGGTGAACGTGAGCCCGCTGCCTGCTGCTTATGGTCTGACCTCACAGCTGCTGCACCAGCATCAGCAGCAACCAGAAGTCCCCTATCCGCCCATCCATTACACACAGCTCCCTGCCACCCCTTTGCAATTTGTGGGGTCGCATTACTCACTGCCCTACGCTGTGCCTCATGGCTTTCTCCCCAGCCACCTGCTGTCGTCTTCTGCTGGCCTAGCCACCTCTCATGTTCCTCACTTTGTGCCCTACGCACCAAATCTCCTGTCCAATGACCTCAGTCCCTCACAGGCGACCCACACTTTTGGCAAAACTTCTGCCTCTGTTTCACCCTCAGGCCCTCTGCAGCCTCAAACTAGAGGCCACCTTCTGGACGTTTCGCAGGGTCAGATTCCAATTTATTACCAGATGTCCCATGTGCCAGCAGGTTACTCGACATTTGAGGCTGCCGTTGGTCTGAATTTGGACCAACCTTTGCAGGAGAACCAGCTTGATCCCAAAAGATTCACAATGAATGGGCCACAAAGGTCTGCTGTTGGGGCAAAGGAGAGCGAAACTGAAGGGCAGTGGCCAAGGACTGCTGAAGAATACAGTACAAGTACTCCGGTCTTGAGAATGGAGGTATCAGTGCCATCTCAGCCAAGTACCCCAGACCTTGAAGTGCAGAGGGTAGTGGGAGTTCTTTCAGAATATCCTATTTGTTCTGCTCAGCAGAAGGACAACTTCAGCCCTCTTAACCTGTCCCATCGTAATGCTGCAGAGCAGAAAAAGGAGTCGGGGAGAAATCCAGTACAGGTTAACGCTGAGAAGAGCCATTTGCAAAGACTGTCTGCAAAGTCACCTGAGAAGCAACTCTGCTCTAGGCAAACGCTTAAAAGGTTGACCCTGGTCAATGGCAAACTAGTCTTAGGACCCCTTCAGCCTACAGTTCAGGAAGGCCTTGAAAGAGTGAGCCCTGACATAGCACCCCAAGAGGTGCAGCCGGAAACAGTTTTGGCCCACTCCCAGGGCCACCTGCCCTCCCACTTCATGAAAGGAGCCATTATTCAGTTGGCTACTGGGGAGCTCAAGCGAGTCGAGGATCTTCAAACCCAAGACTTTGTGCGTAGTGCAGAGGTGAGTGACGGCCTCAAGATCGATTCCAGCACAGTGGTGGACATTCAGGAAAGCCCCTGGCAGGGCTTTGTGATGCTGCATTTTGTAGTTGGAGAGCAGCAGAGCAAAGTGAGCATTGATGTGCCCCCTGAGCACCCTTTCTTTGTCTATGGTCAAGGCTGGTCATCCTGCAGCCCAGAGAGGACTGCTCGGCTTTTCTCTCTCCCTTGTCATAAGCTTCAGGTGGGAGATGTTTGTATTTCCATCAGTTTACAAAGCCTGAATGGGAAGTTGGTTCCACAAAGTAGTTCTCGGGGCACTATCCAAGAGAAGCCAGAGCAGAGTGGGATAATCCTTCGGGAGCCGCAAGGTCAGGTGAGGGAGAAGACTCCATTACAGAGGACAGTAGGAGTGTTAGACTTATCCCAGGAATCCTATCTAGAACCCATTTCTGTATATGGCTGGGCAGGTCCCAGCTTTCAAAAATTAGTGGAAGAGCCTCGTTTATCCCTGCTCCGCCCTTCATTTATTCCCCAGGAAGTTAAATTGTCCATAGAGGGTCGTTCGAATGCAGGGAAGTGAATTCTGGCCATTAAATCAGTTTCTCTTGACGCCCAAGAGATGTCCAGCTCCTCCAGCTGTGCCTAAACAATTGTACTGGCAGAACTTCTTCCCATCTTCTCCTGCATTCTGCAAGGTGAGATGAAGAGAGGGATCACCAGGTCCCTTAAGATGCAAGCACTTTAATCGGACACTTACTCATAGGTAGCAAGATGCTTTCAACGAGAGAAAAAGAGTCAGTATGGGAGCCAAGAGAATTGTCCAGTCTTCTGCTCAGGTCTTAGTCAAGATAGTTTGACTAATTAGTCTAGGCACTGCAGTAGTCCAGTTTGGGAGTCTCTGCGTCTCCTTACAGAGATATTTGTACATCTTATTGTATTGAGAAGAAACATCTAGCAGTCCTGTTCAACAAATCTGCTACCCAGTGCATAGTTTTGTAACTGTTGTCACATAGAACTAAGACCTTTTTTAATAGGGGAAGTAGAAGCGGAACAAGGATTTGTGCAGTATAAAGTGTATTAGCAGACCCCTTTGTTTGCTGGCTCTGCATCCATTCTGCTATAACATTCCTGCCCAGGTAATACTGTTCTTCCATGAAAGCTGCATTCCATTTCTCCCCTTGCTGCCAGTACTTTCTCAAACATCCATTGCTGAGCTAGAGTTCAACTGTATAGCTGCTGCTTTTGCAGGCATACAAAGGCTATGGTTGAGGAAAGTGCCCTTTATCAATTACCAGCTTCAACAGACTAAAAAGGGGCAGTAGATTTTTATATTTTATCAAAGAGTAAGTAAAAATGGCAAGTGGGTAACAGTTTTAAGTCTGTTGCACTGAAAATGATGCAGAATTGCCTCATTTCATGGTGCCTTGCTGAGCATCTTCTTGTCTTGTTACTGTGCTCTTAGCTCTAGGCAGACGTTTACTGTGTTGTCTGGTGTAATGATGACAAAATCTCCCCTCAAAACGGCTGTTACAGCCGCCACTTCTAATAATTCTAAATGTATACCTTGGCTTATTTCTCATGGGTGGCTTCAATTCCACTGCTTGGCAATTCTGCTAGGTGCTGAGTGCTGAGTTTCTACATCGGCCCATCCCTAGCTCTCTAGATGAAAGGTGACCTTGCTTTCTCTGCCAGGTTCTTTGCTGTGTTCTCCTAAAGACCCTGGCACTTTGCACTATTCCTAACCACCTTTTGTCCTTTTGTCCAACATATCTGCCTTTCTTAACTTCCTCTCAGGGTCCCCTGAACTTCCTTTGTGTGCCTCCTGATTAATTTCTGTACTGAGTTCTCCCGTCTGATGCCAGATAAAGGGGCAGTAGTTTTATGGCTGCAAACAAGCTTAATCCTTTCTCTCAAAATGAGTAGTTATCTCCAGGCTGCAGTGCCAAGTGTCTATGGTTGCTGACACTGAACCCCCCAGTTTTGGACAGCTCACCTATGTGGGTCCACAAAACAATCCTGTTTTCAGAGGCATGTTTCCGAGTGGACAAGACAGTTACAAGTTGCAGATGTGTAAGTCCCACAGACATCTGAGAGAGCCAGCTACTTAGAGCAATAAGCTATTTCTCTCATGTGACACTACAGAAAGTTGTGCCCAATTCTAGCAATTGCAGGGGAGGCCTCCTAATACCCAATACTGTGGGATTGACATCTCCCTGGTTGTCCTGTTGCCCATGAACCCTAAACAATTCATCTCTGACAGGGCATCTGTCAGATGTCATTTTCTCTTGGGAGTTGCTTCTGTTGCCCCTTTCTTCAAGGACACCTTAGCCTTAAAGGAGAGCTCCTTGAAGGGCTCATGAAAGGGGAAGCCTTTTGTTACCAATCATGATAGAGCCAGGGCAGGCCCACAAGAAACTCCTCTGAAGGTCCCTCTTCCTCCCTGGGACCTCTCCCATAGATAGCACCTTAGCTGGCGAGGACTGAATGCCATATGCTACCAGAGTTGTACATGTTGCAACCCTACAACCAATCATTATTTTTACTCTCTAGCCAGTGATATACTGGCACATGCCTTAGGACTAGCCAAACCCTCAACTGCTTTTCTCCTTCCTGATCTTTAATGTTACATTACTCTAAGGAGGATAATCTATTTTATTGTGCTTTTTTGTATCTGTTTTAAATAAATCCACATGTACTGTATATTTGTATTTGGCGTGTGATCCTTTTTCCTGTTTTATGATTTAATATTGCTGTAAACGCAGGCTGTATTTTTATTGTTAAGCTCTTCAAATGTGTTCATTTAACTTGGCTATAAATGGCATACACACATATATATGCATGTGCACACATATACACACATGTATGTACTTAATAATATGCCAATAGTTTTTTCTTTTGCTGTCTGTTGTTTACCTTGTGGAGCGAATACTACCCTGGAAAGCCAAGTATAACTCAGCATCATTTTGACAATTTAACGTGACTGTTAGTAATATTCACAGTAGGTTTATTAATGGAGAATGGGGTGCTGCACAGGGACAAATGAAGAACGCTCCTTCCCTAATTTTGCATTGCTTCCCCCATATTGGTAATACAGCTGGTCTTCAAATGTGACACATGGATGCCAAAGACATTCACTGGTTACTGCTGCCTTCTGTACAGTCTGTGCTCAGTGTGAAGAGGAAGACTGGTGCTGATATGGTCAAAATGGGCAGAAGCAGCTCATCAAAACCTATGCAGTTCTCTAAGCTTATTTTACTGTTAGCAAGTAATATGTTAAGCCTGACAGCACTTAGGATTGTCTCCAAACAACAGTTTGCATATTTGTGTGACGGCCTAATAAAGACATTGCTGTAAGATGCATTTGGGGATTTTTCTTATAGCCAAGAAGCTCACTTGTTTCAAAAAACTGTCAAAAAAGTTGGTTCATGATGTGTTTGGATTTTTTTAGACTAGCCAATGTGAAAGCATTTAGGATTCAAAAGAAAAACTAAAAGGCTTAAATCCCAAATTGTGAACTAAAACATGGTAGACAGTAAATTGACTATCTGCTCATTTAAAGAGAATAAATGTTTAATCTTCATATACCCACCCTTTTCAAGGAGAACATGAGTACTGTTTTGAAGACCTTACTGTCCAGAAGCCGGAGGAACACTTGTAATGAAGTCAAAGTTATTGTTAAAAGATTAATGTGAAAAAAGCCTGCCAAAGATTACACAACAGAAGAAAGTAAACTGAATGGCAGAATAGACAGTGGAAATTGCCAAGGGAATATGAACCTGAGAGAGTTCATGAAAGAATTTAAGAAATTTGTTGGAAGAGATCAGTAGTATTGCCACATTGTAAAGATGTTGAAGATGAAACAGACATGCAGAAACAATGTTTTCCGTAAGATCTCTGACCTCAAAAAGTTTCAACCTCAAATTGGTTTGCTTCAAGATGCAATTAACTACAAGTAATGATTCAAAAACTATCGAACAAAAGTGGAAGGAACTTCCGTATAGTAAAGATATTACTATCTGAGAAGATATTCTCTGTTTACAAGAAGTTCTAGTGCTAAAGTACTGATTAAATTGCTAGGGATTAGACCACTATCTTAAGTTGGTAGCAATTAGTAAAGATTTTAATTGAACTACAGCATATATGGAGAATGCCACAGTGAACACCAGGTTGAATGAGCTCATTCCACAAACCAGCACTAAAGATAGGAAGTAGTGCAAACTGTTGCACAGTATTAATTTCACATTTAACAAAATAATTCTTAGGATTATCTAACAGATTAGAGCCCCAAATGAAGGGGAATATCAGATGTTCAAGCTTACATTAGAAAAGGCAGAGGAACAAGAGAATTGCCTATCCACATTGAATAATTGAGGAATCAATATCAAGAAATTAGGGTGTGCTTCATTGATTAAAAGGAGGCCTTTGGCCATGTTAAACTATGAAGTGTGTTTAGGAAAATGGGAATCCCAGAACATGTTAAGTCTATGCATGAAATTTACACACAGGTCAGGAAGCCATATTCCTGATGAAACATGGAGACTGGCTCCAGGACAACAAAGGAGAGGCAAGGCTGTATACTCTTCCCCAATTCAACCTATGTGCTGGATATTTATTGAAGGAGACCAGATTGGAAGATGAGTTTTAAAACTGGAGAAGAAACATCAAGCACCTGTGCTATATTAATGAGACTACTCCAATAACTAAAAAAGGAAATGTTCTGCAAACTCTAGTAATCAAAGTTAATTGGCTACAATTAAATAAAAAGACCACCAAATTAATGATAATAGGAATAGGGGTCAACCATAGAATTGCCAGTGAAGATCCTGAGGTATGGTGGATTACTTGTGCCTTTCAGGATTGACTGTCAATAATAAAGAAACCAGCATCAAAAAATATGCTGCAGAGTAGCACTTGATAGGCAGCAATGAAGTCTTTGGAAAAAATGTTCTGATGTCATATCTAGCTCATAATTAAAAGCTGATTGGGTGACTTTGGGCCAGTCAAACTTGGCCCAACCCACAGGGTTGTGAGGAAAATATGGAGGAATATTAAGTATGCTCATTGAGTTGGGCACTTCTGTTTTACAAGGTTGGATTAAAAAAAACTATACAGGTAGTCTTTTTCCTGTGATGCTATGGATGTGAAAGATGGACTTTGAAGAAGCAGACTACAAAGACTACTGGTTGTGTGGAGCCAAGAGGAGGAGAGATGTAATCTTGAGCCTTCCAGCTTCCCTCCTCAGACTGTGATGCAACCAGCACACAAGACCAGAAGCATGGAACACATACAGGCAAACAAGAAAAAAGTTAAGGAAATGATTGGTCCATTAGTGGAGGGAAAGTGGCAAGAAGGTGACAAGCAACAGGGAGAAAGCAGAACTAACTCATGTTTTGCATCTGTCTTTACACCAGTGGTTCTCAACCTGTGGGTCAGGACCCCATTTGGGGTCGAACGACCATTTCATGGGGGTCGCCAAACAACGCAGTCCGCCATTTTTTCCCCTTTCCTTTGGCCATGCCCCTGGCACCCGGTGATGTATAAGTGGTTGGGGGTCACCACAACACGGGGAACTGTATTATGGGGTCACGGCATTAGAAAGGTTGAGAACCACTGCTTTACACAAAGGGAAAAAACAGTCCAACCTATCAAAAACAGTACCATAAAAAATAGAAACACAAGATAGGCAAGAAAATGGTAAGTGAGCACCTGTCCAGCCTAGATGGGTTCATATCACCAGGACCAGATGGATCACACCCCAAGGTTCTCAAGGAACTGGCAGATGTAATCTCAGAACCACTGAATTATATTTTTTAGCCGTCCGTCTGAGACAGCGTTAAAACCGCTGAGGACAGCAGACAACAGCTTTTCCGTGGTTTAAAACCTCTTTCCTGGGCTAAAGGAAAGAGGGAAGTTTTTCACCCTGAATAGTGGTAGAGCCTCTGAAACCCCCAAAGTGTTTTTTTTGGGGGGGTGTAAGGAGTGCTCCCACAGAGTTCAGGGTGTCTCCGCTTCTCAGATGCCTTTGTCCCTTGTTGTTCAGGACAAAGCAAGACGCCGTTCCCACATCCGCGATTAAAGTAATCTGGTGAGTTGTTTAAAAAGCGGACAGAGCTGATCAGTGGATTTTATTTTATTTATTTTTATTTACTTGGACTTTAACTCTAAAAACTATTTCTTTTTTTCCCCCCTTTTCTTTTCTCTTTGCTGAAAGGGAAAATAAAATGACGATGAGAGATGTTTTTTTTTCTGAGCGTATGGGAGGAAATTGAATGGGCTTTTGATACTTTATTACTTTTTTATTCTTTTTTCTTGTTACAATGGTTTTGGATTTCTTTTTTTTTCTTTTAAAGGGGACTTTGGGTGAGGTATTCCCCCTTTTCTTTTTGCTCATTTTTTTATTTCTTTTGGGTTCTTTTGGATTTTTTTTTCTCAAGAGGAAGGAGGAAAACGTTTTAAAATGGCTTCAAAGCGTCAAGTGATTTCTACAGTGCCTAAGGTGGCTTCCTCTCCGGCAATATTACCAGCGCAACAAGCTAAATCTAGATCACCACCACCTTCTCCGTCTGTACCACCACTCACAGTAAAAGATCTCCAAGATGTTATGGGAAATGTTGTATGCCAAATTAGAGAAGTGAAGGAGCTTTTAGTAGAGAGAAATAACATCTTGAGGCAAGATATAGTATTGGCTTTAAAAGGACTTGCTTCTCTTGTTGAAAAGTTGGATTCTCGTGTTGAAGAAGTAGAAGACAAAGTGGATTTACTGGAGGAAAGATTTGAAGGGGTGGAAAAAACGGTGGAAATTTCACAAGATGAAATTGTTATGTATAGAGAGATGGAGTTTGCCTTAAGAATCAGGGGTTTGAGGGAAAACGTGCAAGAAGATTTGAGAGAGATGGTGGCAAATGACATTGCTGTGATTCTGAAGAGAGAAAAATGAAATATTAGGAGAAATTGAAAAAATATTCAGAGTCAATTCTTGGGTTGCAAAGCAGAGAAATTTGCCAAGAGATGTGATTTATTTTGGAAAAAGATCTCTGCGTAACGAAATAATACAAGCCTTTTACAATAAGAGATTTCAGATTGCTGCACAGGATGTGATAATTTTAAAGGAGATTCCATCTAAAATTTTAAGAAGAAGAAAGGAATTTGCTTTCCTATCAGATGAACTTAAAAAGAGGCAGATGCCATTTAGATGGGATATTCCGATTGGAATTGTGGTGAGTCATGCGGGGACACGTTATAGACTTAATACTGTTTCTAAAGCAAGAGAGTTTTATATTTCGGTCCTGGGAGCGCGCTCATCACCATCTATAATGTTTAAAGCTTTGGAAGGGAAGGAGGGAGAGCAGTTGGCTGAAGAAGTTGTATCAGTGAAAGTTGGAAAAATACAGGCTGAATGGTTACAGCAATCTGAGATGAAAAAACAGAGAATGACTCGAGCAGCACATAAACGCAAAGAAAAGGAGCAACAGAAGAAGGAAATTAAAGAAATTTCACAAGACAGAGCCTGTGGGAGGAGCAAGACCTAAGAGATCCTCGCTGGTCCAATCTTCGATGGCTGATCTCCAAGCAGTCTTCTCTAGGCTAATGGATGAAGGAGATGGCAAAGCTCCTGACCTGGAATGTTAATGGCCTTAATTCTCCACAGAAAATATTTCATTACTTGAAGGAACATAATAATGATATTGTTTGTTTGCAGGAAACCCATATTATCTCTAAGGATCAAAAATATTTGTTTAATGCTCGATTGGGTTCTCATTTTGTATCCTTTGCTTCTGGGAAAAAAGGGGGTGTGGTCATTTATGTTAAGCAAAATTTATCAGCTTTATTAATAGATTCTGATCCTCAAGGGAGATATGTTATGATTGAAGTGGGAATGTATGGTAAGAAAATACTTATAGGTTTGTATGCTCCTAACCAACAACAAGAACAATTCTATAGGTTTTTACATCAAAAATTGATTTCATTGGACTATAGATCTGTTATATTGATGGGGGATTGGAATGGAGTGTTGGATACACAAAGAGATAAGAAAGGATCTTCTACTTCTTTTAAACAAGCTAAATTACCTGAAGCTTTTTTTGATCTGAAAGAGGACTGGGAATTGAGAGATTTTTGGCGGGAACGTAATATGGAAGAGAGAGACTTTACCTTTTTCTCTGATAGACACCAATCGTTTTCAAGAATTGACTTTTTTTTATTACAATAGATTTATATTTTAGGGTAAAAAATGTAAAGATTTTCCCAAGGACATTGACAGATCATAGTCCGGTATGGATGGAGTTGGTCGTGGAAAAAGAGGAGAGAAGATCTTGGAGGTTGAATGAAAATTTATTTAGACAAGAGATGAATGTTCAG